CTGGGGGGGGCGGCCGGGGAGGGGGCCCAGGCGGCGGCGGCCGGGCCAAGGGGCTGAAGGACATCCGCATCGACGAGGAGGTGAAGATCGCGGTCAACATCGCCCTGGAGCGCTTCCGCTATGGGGACCAGCGAGGTGAGGCTCCCGCGCCCTTCCGGCCCCGGAGCGCTGCGGGCCCCGCCGGGAGCTGGCGCAGGGAGGTCGGGCAGCAGCCACCAGCCACCGTCCTGGGGTCGGGGTGCCCGGAGTTCTCAAAGGGGGCGCGACCCGGCCTGGGACGCCCGCCCGCTCCCCGCAGTGCGCCCAGCTGCTCGGCCTGTCCCGGCCGTAGCGAGCGGCCCACAGCCGGAGTCGGGGGCCACTGCCGGGGTCACGGACGCGACCGGGGCGTCCTGTCGAGCGCGCGTTCCGACTTGCTGGTTTAAATAAGGGACCCCTTACTCTGGAAGCGTGCAGTCCGGAACCGGGCCTGACCCGGACGAGCGGCTCGGACCTCGCCCTGAGCAGTAACGCTTCAGCCTCGTAGCTGCAGAGCCAGCCTTGAGTGCGCGGGGAGCCTGCGCCGGCTAGAAAGTGCCGAGTGGGACTTTGAGCTAATTCCTAATGCTTCGGCATCGCTCTCCGCTGCGGGAAGTGAGCATTTGCTGATGAAACAGGCAGTGACCACCTAGAAGAGGAAAGTATGTCCCGTCGTCACGCCAGCTCGGAATTCCAGCCTGAGTCGTGGTCTCTGATGGACATCGAAGCTCTTGATCACATTTAGGTTTAATGCGTATCCTGTTAATGTCAGGATTCTTAGTTATTTAATATCTTTTACACAAAGTGTGATAACTTTTGATTATGTCACTTTTTAATATTTCATAGCAGTGTTCGGAATTACTTGAAAGGAAATGGCCTATCCACAAGTGGTACTGTTCTTCTTCCTTGTAGAAATGGAATTCCCTTCTTCTTTGACCAGTACTGAAAGAGCTTTTATTCATCGACTCAGTCAGTCTCTCGGCTTGGTCTCTAAAAGTAAAGGGTAAGCTGATAGCTTTTCTTAATTAAAAATAAAATTATTTATCAAAAAAATGAAAAACGTGACTACATTTAGATAGTTACTGTTTTAGCTTCCCATTGTTATTACATTGTATGTAGATCAGCTGATTGGGTCTGTACCAAATTCAGCTCTTCCTTTTTCCCTACTTTTTATTCATTTCCAGCCCCCAAGTGCAAAAAAAAAAAATGGTGAGTATATGAAAACTTCCTCTACTCATCTCAGGTTCATTGTCTAGGACCCAGTGAGTAAGACTGATAAAAGGCAGTAAGAGAAAAAGAGAAGTTTGTTAAAATGTGTGTCTTGCATATGCACAGGAGAACTCAGTGAATGAGTAATTAAAACTTGGGGCTTATATAAAGTTGTTAATGAACTTATAAAGAACTGAAAAAGTGGGGATCAGTAGTTGGCGTAATGGCTCTGTCACTGGACTCCTTTGTCGTCGACTGTGGTTCGAGTCCCCAGACCCGGTGGCTTAAACTCACAAGGGGCATGTGGGCATGTCCAAGATCCTGAGAGGAGAATGGAGGAGAAGAGATTGTGGTGTGGCCATCCTCCCTGGGGGGTGATTTCTCACTTTCTGTCTCTCTGGCAAGCGCATGGGCCCTAGAGCAAACCCCCCCCCCAAAAAAAAAAAAAGAACTGAAAAACTGAAAGGACTTTGAGCTTCTAGGTGTGGTGGATTGTGGGAAGGTAAATACATGGGGAAAGTAATGGAAGGTAAGGGTTGTTTTAACAAGGTTTGTCTACGGCTCTTTGGTGCCATCTCCAAGTTGTGAGTCTAGAGTGGTCTCTGAGAATGGTCCAGGCCTTTCTAGTAAAGATGGGGAATGTAGAGTTTTCCTTGTGTATGCTTTTTCTCAATTATTATTATTATTTTTGGAGAGAGAGAGAGAGAGCAAGAGAGAGAGAGAGAGCTAGAAAGCATGCCACCAGATCCAGACTCGAACCGTGGTTGGCCATGTGGGAATTCCAGCGCCTCACCTCCAAGCCATCTGCTGGGCCCCTTTTCTCAATTATTTTTAGGACACAGTAATTCTTATGCTGGAATTTGGGGTGGTGGTTTTTGGAGTGACATTCTCTGAACTTCTTCAAAAGCAAATTTTTAAAAAGAATTTTTAATTAGATTTATCTGTATTAATATTTTAAAATGTGCTACTGGACACATGTGCTCACCAGAAAGAGAGAGAGAAAAAAAACGAGAGAACACAAACCTTTAGGTTTGGAACTCAAAAGGTTGGTCATGTGGGAGGGAGTTCAGCACCTTCACCACCATGCCAATAGGCCCCTCAAAAAAGCAAATTTTAAGGGGCCGCCAGGTTGCATGGTGGTTAAAGGCACTGGGCTCCCATGTGGTCAGCTGAGGTTCAGGTCCTGGATCTGGTAGCTTCCTTTCTCACTTTCCCTCTTTCTGTTTCCCTCTCTGTTTCTCTCTGGTCAACTTCGAAATTAATAATAGTAAATAAAGTTAAAATAGTTCTCTAAAAAAAGGCAAATATTAAGATATAAGAAAAAATATTTTAGATGTTGAAGTTGATTGCTTGAGAAAAAACTGCATGTATTTTTAGTGCATGTGCTCACCAGAGAGAGAGAGAGAGCAACAGCGTGCACCCCCCAGTGGGGCATGGTCATGCCAGTTTCTCCTTTCTGTTGGAATTTTGGGCACGCACACGTATGTGCCTGACGCTTTTTTTTTTTTTGGTGTGTGTACTTGACAGAGAAAGAGAGAGCGATAGAGAAATAGGTAGATAGATAGAGGGGAAGTGAGAAATATCCCTCAAGAGAGGATGGTCATATTGCAGTCCTTTTTTCTCTATTCTCCTGGGATTTGGGCATGTATGCATATGTGCCTAGCACGATTTTTAAACCGCGAAATCTGGGACTTGAGCCATGATCGGCCATGTGAGAGTCCAGTGCCTTAACCACCCCACCACCTTTTGGTCCCATCTGCTGTGTTTTCCTCCTTAATTTTTTTTTTAACTTCTATTTAGTAACTGTATGTCTTCACAGTGTATAACATGGCTTTTCCCAGCATGAATATGGTGCATATTAGTCAAGTCAAAGGCATTACCATATACATTATCATCAGCAGATACTTTTCAGTTTTGTGTTTATTAAATGTTTTTTCTTCTGATCCCCTCCCTCCCACCTTCTATTTTCTACCCCATGACTCACCCCTCTCTCTACCGTCTCTAGTATCTGCAGTTGGTTTCTCCGATACTATATTTTCTGTGTTTTTCAAGCTGCTGGAGTGGGGATTTGAACTATACTGTAGGCCATGTGAGATCTGTTTCACTACTCACTAATCTACAGGGCTGGCCCTATTTTTTTTTTTTTTTTTATAGAAATGTAATCTTTTTTTTCTGACAGAATGGATATACAGAAATATTATTTACAGAACTTTTTTTATTGTTACTGTACTATATGATAAGCTTTAGAATATCTGCTCATTGGTGCTGGTGGGTGGTAATGGTGCTGGACTCCCACATGGCTGACCATGGTTCAAGACCCGGAGCTGGCAGCTTTCTTTCTCACTTTCCCTCTCCTTTCCTCTCTCTCTGGTCAAATTAAAAATATAATAAAATATAAAAAAAAAAATACCTGTTCTCTGTTTTTCTTGCAACCAAATAAAAAATGTGATTATTAGAAATGAAAGTGAAGCAGGAAGAATTGCTTTTTGGGGGGGAGGGTCACTGACCAATAGGAGAAAAAAGTTATTTGAGCCATCCAAATTGAAAAATTTAAAAATTCCATGAATTTATTTTGGGGATAAGGATGATGGGGTCACTTGAGAGCAGGGTTTCTCAATATTGGTAGTGTTTATATTTTGGGCCAGATAATTCTGTATTGTGTTTTGTGCGTCGTGGGGATGTTTAGCAGCATACCTGGACTTTACCCACTAGATGCTATTAATGCTCCCAACCCAGTTGAGACAGCCGGAAATGCCTCTTGACATTGCTAAGTATTCCTTAGGGAGCAAAATGGTCCAGATTGAGAGCCACTGATATAGTGTGGAAAAAAAAATAGCAGTTTTGGTGCTGGCAGGTGGTGTGGTGGTTAAAGAAAAGTTTTGGTGCCGGCAGGTGGTGTGGTGGTTAAAGGCTCTGGAATCCCACATTGCTGACCACAGTTCGAATCCTAGACCTGGAGGTTTGCTTTCTCACTCCCCCGCCCCCTCGCTTTCTTTCTCAATCTGTCCCTTTCTGGTCAAATTAAAATAAATTTAAATAAAAACAATCTTTTAAAAATTGCCCAATGAATAAGCAAATTGCCAACAGTTATATTAAAAAAAAAAAGATAAAAATTTTAGGTAACCTATTTTTAGGTTAAGAAGAGAGGAAATGGGCCGGCATATATTAACAAATAGTAGGAAGGGCCTAAGATGGAAGTAGCTGATATAACAGGGACTAATCTTGCGTATGAGTGTCCATCACTGTCACACATTCCCGAGACTGGTGTTTAGCTCAGGTGAGTGTGCATTTTAACCTTACTAAGGCTAGCGGGGGTGGGGGGGGGGGTAGGGTTCTTTTTTTTTTTTTGAGGGGTTTTTGTGTTACGGG